CACAACTGATGGATGTTCAGCAGTATAGAGCTCGTGCTCATTTTCCAGCCCACTGGTAGGACAGTTTCTTCAGGCACTGCTCCCAACACTGGAGCCCCTTCCCTACTGCCAGCTCTGTTGCTTAACTGTACCCCACAAAAGTTAAATAATATGAACAAGCAACTGTACCCCACAAAAGTTAAATAATAAAAAAAAATAATGAAAAAATCACAGCTCTCACCAACACAACTCTTAGGATCAAGAGCAGACATCTTTTATGACAGAAATTTTCATTTTTCAGCCATGAGTTGCAAGTAGATGCAGAGCATTTGTTAAAGACTGATTGTGATTACCTAAAAGTCCATGCAAGGACAATTACTTCATATAAATCAGTCTTAATTGCTTTGCACCCATTTAAATCTCACATGGTGATACATTTTGGAGAAAAGCCGGCCTTGCTCTTTTTCTAAGACAAATGTAATACTATAAAGCACTCTGCCTTGATCTTAGTGCTCATCTCCCAGGGCCCCTCTGTTTCTGCTGCATTCCTTTGTGTTTATCTGCCCTCTTCAACCCTTCGCTGCAATCAGCTGCGTGCAGCACCTCGTGTCTAGAAGTGACATGGCTGAGGTTACAGGAGAGACAGGTGCAAGGGAAGCTCGTGCCCCGAAGCTATTCAAAGGAAAAGAGAAGCTGGAGGGGAAGAGGGTTGTAAGGTATTTCAGATTAAAGCAAACACCTTGCCCCAGGCTACACATTCTCTGCCAACGCAAGCTGCAGCGGCTTCGGCCCCAGAAACAGCAAAGCAAACACAGACTCCTCTGGAAGGGGAGTTGTCACCTGTCAGGGATGTTTGCAAATTTATAGGGAGGTGGTGGTGGTGGTGGTAAGGGGAGTAAAAAGAGCTTTCCTCATTTTAAAAGACAGGCTGTTTGCACAGGTTTGCGATGCATATTTTGCTTTGTGAGGGCTTTTGTCCAGCATTCAACTGAGTGAAGGTGCTGTCTTCCACTGAAGACAAACTGGAACATTTATTAATGTACATACATTAATGTGTTGTGAGCTGCTGCCTTACAGTAAGGGTGAGGATGGGATGGAATTTCCCCACTCCCCCTTCAGCTTGTCACATCAGTGAAAAACACTTCTTAAAGTCACCTTGCAGCTTGGCCTCTCCAGAAAAGCCTCCTGCAAGGCTGGGATCAAACCCACTACAAGCAAGGGTAATGGCACAGTGAAAGCTGCCTGTCCCCTTCCCTAGCACCAGCACTCACTTCAGCAGGGCAGAGAGGACAAGGGGAAAGGACTTTCCTTTAATGTTTCACTGCACCACAGATGGGAGAGGGAGACTCTGAACAGGCCTTCAGTGAGCCTGTCAGCTACAGCAGTGCTCAGCAGACAGCTCAGAGGAACTGGAGATAGGGAGGCTTTGCTTAGTGCTCAATACAGCAATTCTAGGTTTGAATGTGGAAGGAGCAAAGTTTCTCATAATGACCTTTAAGCTGTTGGGGACTATTTTTTAAGGGGACATAGTTCAAATGAACATTACTATCCACTTTAAGAATCAGAAGCCCCAGTAAACACAGAGAATCTTTTGGTCTATTGAAGAGACAACATTTTACTGGAGTTGTGCTATAGTGGTGGAAAAAGCCAAGATCTAGGTGCTGATGGAAGGCTTGCACTGCACCCCTCTGTGCCCCACCAAAGGCAGAATTGCAGAATCAAAAGATAACCAAACTTGATGTCAGTCACCTCTCCTTGTGCACTTCACCACATTACCTGAGCACATACCCTACCTCAAATTGGGCTTTTAACCATTTGCAATCTTCATGGAAGGAGGTCAACACTGCAGTCTCCTCAGATGACACACCAGAGTGCCACTAACAGGTCAAACCTTCTGTCACCAGGGACTGCAATCAGCATGACCCATGAGCTCCTTCCTTGCAGATGTGAGCCTCCAGGTTATAAACACTACCTGGATGCAGACTGTCAACACACCATTGTTAAGCACAATAAAATTGTGCCTGATTAGCCAAGGAATTAATTTACAATAGTTTCTCAGGATGGAAACACAGGAGCAAGAAAATTTAGACACCAACACAAATTTCAAATCACACATTTTTACCCCAAAGTATACAAAACTCAGTAAGAATAGAAATAGGATACAAACAACTCAAACTCCTGAAATATCTCCTGCTCCAGCCTGCAAGAATAGCACCTGGCTTGTTCAGTGGAGCTATTGCTAAGAAAGAGCCCATCTCTCTGTGCTAAAGGCAATGAACCAGCAACCACCAGTGCCTCACCCTCATTCCAGTCTTGAGCCATACTGGTGAGACACCCATGGCCAAGACTCATTACAAGCACTCTCTAGTCTGGAGAAATAGGAGGGGAAAAAAACCCCAACCATGGTCTGAAACCAAGCTGTCATTCATATATGACCCTCAAGAGAAGAAAAACCACTGAAGAACCTCTGGGCCTTGATCAGCACAATTGCAACTGTGCCCAAAATCCCAACTATTTTAACCCTGAGGCCACATAAACTACCTCTAAGCAGGGAGAGTGCAGGGACAGTTGTGCAGCCTGGTAAGAGACTGCTCAGCTCTCCTGCCTGTTTAGCTGTCTCATCCCTCCCTCCTGTCACTGCTGCAGCAGGAGAGGAGGAGCAGGCCAGGAGCCAGCCAAGGTGGAAAGACAGCCCCAGGGCAACACATCTGGAATAGTTCCTGCAAAAACTCCCCCTCTGTCCCCAAAGGTTAAAGGAAGTTCTCATCACTACTCACCCACATGGGGTCATTCAGCTCCGTGTCCTGCACCCGGACGCAGTCCATGCTAATCTCTATTTTGTTTGTAGGGCCATTTTCAGATGGGCCATCGATGAAGTTTAAGTCGATTGGCTGAACTGAGCATATTGGCCTGAAAAGAACACAGTAATGAAGTTAAAATTGGCCAAATTCTGTATTCCACCACCCCACCTTCCCCTCTCATCCCCTATGCTAGGGTGTCACCCACAATTTAGGCATAACCACAAACCAGTCTCATGACAAGGTAATTACTAATGAACAACTACCTCCTCACCCGCTAAACTACAGCAGCCCCTGAACAGGACAGGGCCTGGAGGGACATTTCACTTGCCTGACCAGAAAAACAAGGTAAGAGCACAGGAATTAGATTGCTGAAAGACAGAACTCATGGAGGATTTACAGCAGTAACTGTCTCAGCATCAGTCATGGCAAGTCAGGAATGGCAACAGTGTCAGTTTTATTTCCTTCAATGGACCTGACAGTACAGAGTTCACTATCTTTGCCTCTTCTTCCTCCCTGGCAACAGCAAAGGAAGTACAGATGAAACCTGGACAGAGTAATGAACCCATTTCCTTAGGGGAAAATGCCAACCATCTGGCCTAGGTGTTGACATGCTAGAAAGCAGACAGCTAAGTCACCAGAGGTCTGGAAGAGAGTCAGTGTCACTACTAATCACTGCATTTGGTCCCTGCAGCCTGGATGCAGAACTTCATGAGAACTCAAGAGGTGTCAGCCATGATAGACTGACACATCTAATCATCACATCCATATCTCATCAACATAAGACTCCAAACCCCCCAGCATCAATGTCCTGAGCAGCCTAACTATAGAGGTGTCCTGTTCAAAAAACACCTTCTTCCACAGGTTCCACATAAGAATTACTTACTGTTCCAGGAAGTCCCAGATATGCTGGATTACCTCTGGGCTGAGGAATTCCCTGGGCTGCGAGCTCTGGGACATGGCTGATCGGTAGTAACTCTCCTTCCAGGAGAAAGGGCTCGGAGTTTCTACAAATCTTAAAAAACAAAAGCAAAAAAAAAAAAAAAAAAAAAAAGTAAAAAAAAAAAAAAAGAAAAAAGAAAAACACACACAAAGATATGTTGAATGCATAAGCCCAACTTGATGAAAACCCATAAATAGAAGCTATTGTGTGAAAAAGGAGACATGCTGAATGTCTGGCACATTCACAGCTGTACAACACACATTCCACACTGCTGCAGATGCTGTATTTAGATGGGAGAGAATTTGGCCACCATTCCCAATAAGTTAAATGCCCCTCAGAGTCTGCTGGGATGGGGATGCTGCGTCATAAGAATCTCGGAGGGCAAAAACAGAAATCCACTTTCTATTTTACACCCAAATAATCAAGTTCCCATATAACACAGGTAGCCTTTGCAGCAGGTAAAGCAGCTAAACAGTGTGCCATCCCACTGCCCCTGGCTGGTTGCCTCTCAAGATAGCATGCTCTTGGATGATTTAGCCAACTTTTCCTACACCCAGCCACTGTAGCTGAGGTCTTAGACTAAGCTAGTTTTTTTAAATTTGAATAATTAATAGTTTTATTTTCTATGGAAATAAGTTCCAACACATCAGATTATATCTGTTTGCCTACTGTCTTCTCACCTCCAACAACTTCTGAGCTCAACTGAACGACTTCCACCAGATCTGCCAATTACCTTAGCCATTTTTATCTCCTTAAGCTCCCACAAGCCTCACAGAAATAGGTGGGTCCAAGAGGAGCAGTGACAGAGCTAGAGCACTCACGCCTTCCACAGCTGCACATTCTCATCCCACTGGCCAATTTCTAAATTCAAACACAGCAGCTTTTAGACCCGTGTCAAAATACTCAATGGCTGCAGGGATGTAAGGATGGCAGGAGGAATTTCTCAAGTATATTTGCAGTTCACAAAAACTCTCAGTTCAACTTAAGTAGACTATGAGGCAGGTGACCACCTTTCCTGCTACAGGTTTGGGGCATCCTGCAAAATTTTCATGTAGAAGCTACTTCAGCACATGCAAGCAAATGGTCATGCTCCCTGCCAGGGGAACAGTTGTGGCAAGAGTCAAGGTTATAAATGGATTCCAAAGAGAACTGGACTAATATTTGGTTTGGCACATTTTTGTGCTGTTTAACACAATGGTCTAAACAAATTGCATGGAAGACCCTAATTTATTAAGCTGTCAAAATTAAGAAGGAGTGTTTCAGAGGGAGGATCACAGTACAGTTCTTCTCCTCTGCTTTTCCTGAAGTATCTTCTGGCTGCTGTCAGAGAAGGATCTAGCTCTCTTTATTGAATCTGTATGGCTTCTTACATTTTAAGGATGACTCTGGTCTGCAAAAAGCAAGGCTTTCCTCACCTCTACTGCCCACAGAACTGCATGCTTTTAGAAAAGAGCAGACCATTGTCCTAAGCTAATGGAAATCAAAGAGGCTTAAGCCCTCAGAGCCATGGCTGGGCATGCCTCCAAATAGGTGAAAGTATCACTTCAGTTGCTCATCCTTTTTGTGATTAACAAAAAAACCCCAACATCCTCTAAAAGTTCAAGAACACTCATAAACACAAGTAAAATGCAGAAGTGTCATAGCTCTGCCTCACAGACGTGAGCACATGCCCACACTACAAGTGAATAAATAATCACAAATCCTTGGAGGACAGTAGTTATTCCACAAAGAGCCAGAAATTACTCCTTTCAGGCTTTCAGTCTGGCAAGACACTTTCCAGAGTGCTGTACTGAAACTCAGAAGAACAGATCTAGCCTAAAACCTCCTATATAAGCTGCAAGTCAACGCTACCACAAGCTTTGAAGGAGCACAATAGGTGCATGTGGCTCCACAACCTGCCCTGCTGCTAAAACCACAGACCCCAAGTATTGCTCAATACCTTGCATCCAGTTCTGACCTCTGGGGAACAGGCAGAGAAACCCCACAATGGGCTCTTCCAAGCCACCAAAGTGCTCACTTGTAACAATTATTTGCCACTTATCACAACTGCCCTTGACTTGTACACTAAAAATGACTTTTTAGGAATTCGTTGCCCAAGTATCATCAAGAACACCAGCTCCTTACTGCCTAAACAGGAACTAACTTGACCAAAAAGAGTTACAACAAAACAGACCTTCAAAAAGATCTCAGTGCAATGAGGTTCCTGCATGCCATGGCATGCCCCAGCTTTGATTCACTGCTGGACAAAGTCCTAGGTCTCAAAAAGGTAAAGCAACCCACCCTGCTTGCTCTGGCCCTGGTGGTCCCATTCAGCAGCAACACCATAAACCTGCCCCAACCAAGCTGTGCCTACAGCCTGCAGCACAGGAGAGACTAGCTGCTCAGACTGGTTTGTTATTATACACCTCTAACACTAACAGTGCTGTTAGAAAGCACCACACCAGTTAAGGACACAACTGGTGCATCCCTCCACTAAACACAATCCCAGGTATCTCCAGAGAGCCATTTTCCAGCTGTGTCATCTTTGTCCCTGTATCAGCCAAGCTCCTAGCTTACTGTTTCTAAGAAAAGAATTTTCAGATTTTACCTGATGACCAAAAAGGCACATTTCCCTATACCAAGCACAAGAAGTCTCCTGGTTAATGGTTTCACAGAAGCAAAATTTGGGAGACTCCTTCAACACTCTCTGCAACACTTTTACTACCCATACCACTCCATTTCCAAAGGAGACAGCAGGATTAGGCAGCCAACCTTGGCAAGGTAGTTGTGGGAAGGCATCACAGAGGTAGTGAGCAATGCTTTTTACTCAGTTTGGTGCCTCCTGCGCTCAAGTGGGAAAAGAGCTCTCAAGCTGCATGAAAGCCAACTTCAGTTCAGCACAAAGCTGCATGCAAGATAAACTGCCTCCTTTCCTGTGATCTTAATAAAATTTAAACCTAGTGCCATTTTCCTTAATAAGCCTTCAACACAGAGCAGCTGCTGTCTACTACACACACACCAAAGTGCCTGAATTTCCACAACAACAGCTAAATCCTAAACAAAATCTATGCATAAATTTCACTGCTCTAGTTAATTCTTTTTTCCCACATCAGCAAACGCTCTACTTTCAGTAAAATAATCCCCAAGTGCCTAAAGTTAATCACAAGATTGCAAGTGTTGGTATTGCTGAAATTGTTTCTACCAACCAGATACCTTTTTTATTAACACATTTAAACAACATCCCCTTTACCTACAACCAATCATTCCAAAGGGCCCAGTAAGAAGCAGCCTCTTGTACCAAACTACTGACTACAACAGAACAAGGCATGGTAGTAACTCTTGTCTAGTTTGCCTCTGCTTTAAATCTACAAGATAATTCCCAGCATCAACTGCTGAAATTGCTGGCAGGCTGCTTTTCATAACCAGAGAGCACTAACTGCACCAGGCTGGAACTACAGGGGGATTTACAGCCCCCATCAAACTGTAAGCTGAGAGACATTGCATCCACAAGTCCCTCCTTTAAAAACCACCAGGGGATTGTTAATAGCAGGTTAAATCTTCTCAGAGAAGCAGCATCTCACCAAGAGCACGGTGTTTCCTGGCACACTGCTCGTGAGCCACTGAATCCCAGGACAAGTTTCAGGCAGCAAAGTACTCCCACCAAGGTCTAACTTGGCTCTATTCTATTTATTTAGCTAAAGCAAGAGCAGCCCTGACTCCAGGTGAAAGCACTTCTCCAGATTCACTAGGTGGGCTGAAGCCTCTGGCACATTAATTGTTCTACTGTCTCCTGATCATTCCCCCAGAAGAGCTCTGTTACAGCCCACCTGAGCAGGAAT